TGCTTAATGGGTTTTTACAGTGATAGTGCACTGAATGCTAAGTACTGGGACAAACCAGGCTGCACTTGGAGGAGAAATATTATGTATGCATTTTATACATTTCAGAAATATCTGTGAAAATTAACCACTGTCATTGAAAAATACATATTTATATGTTATGAATATATTCCTATATATATATATATATATATATATATATATAGGAATATATTCATAACATATAAATATGTATTTTTCAATGACAGTGGTTAATTTTCACAGATATTTCTGAAATGTATAAAATGCATACATAATATTTCTCCTCCAAGTGCAGCCTGGTTTGTCCCAGTACTTAGCATTCAGTGCACTATCACTGTAAAAACCCCTTAAGCACTGTGTTCTGGTTAGTAGTGTGCATGCTATGGATATCTCACTGTCTTTAAAAAGAAGACATCCGAAGGCTGTGATGGTCACAAACACCGAACACATTCCATCCAAACGCACTGCAAACCAGCGTGAAGTGGTCAAGAACAGGAACCAGGCCTCTGCCGGAGTACACATGACATTTTAAACAACACATTATTAAAGTCAACAGCTAATCGGAGTCCTGTAAGTGGCCCATTCCTTTACCGACCCGAGTGCAGATCTTGATGAGCATCAAACGTTTGCTGAAACCTTTCCTCAGCTTTAAAGGCACGAATGGTGCAGAGGCCTTGCAGTGAGGATGACAGATGGGAGAATACAGGACTTCGAGCTGGAAGAGCGCAAAATACACACAGCCATCAAGACCAGACTCACTAAACATACAGGACACACAGCAAAGATGCTCTAAAGAAACATTAATATTATTCTCAGATTTGACAGGAGAAAACTGAAGACACTCACAAGTGGATTCAATCCGCTTGACGTCTCGTGATGTCCGCAGGAAGTAGCGGCGTAGAAACAGGAAGCTGATCAACAGAGGAAGAACAGGAATCAGAATCCAAGGGATGACAGAAGACGCCACAGCAATGACTCCAATGATTTGCAGAAACACCTGTAGTGAATGAAAGCACAAAAGAGGGAGAGATATACATAATCTAAATTTAAATAAATACATGGAATTAATTTAAAGTAAAAAATAAATACATTTATTAAATAAACAAACAAGTAGAAACACTGCATCACAACGGTTGACTGCTGGGTCATTAAAGCACTTAGTGGTTTTGGTTGCTCCGTTTGACCACAAACATTTCTCAGAGAACATGGACGAAAAAACGTCAGACTGCCATGACAGCATGACTCCACACTTTCTGAGTGAGATCTCATTTCAATTACCCATAATCCCCTGCTCTTATCCGTAACCGTGTTAATAACTTAAGGTTAGTGTTGGAATGACCACAGACTACGGTGGCACAGAAACTGACATTACTGTGCTTGTGAGTTTGGGACTCGACATTTAGAAGAACCTCAATAACGTCATAGTGAATCTCCCTTCTTAAACTACTTTTCAAGAAACCGCTTTGGTCGCTTCATCAGCGTGGTCACGTTCAGAACGGATTCCAGCATGCTGTTCACTATATAGTGCATGCCTACTACATTACAAAAATACTATCAGAAAATGTACACGTGTGACATTTTTAATTCATAGTGGCATCACCTTGGAAATCAAATGGTTAATTTGCAAATGAATCAATTTTTTGTTAAAATACCTGTTTGGTAATCCAAACAATGTTAAAAATTATAGATATTACTTACAATTCAATCATCACACTAGAAATGGAAGATCGAGTCGAGCGCATTACATTATGGGATACAGTATATACTCCATGTATTCCAGTGGTTTTGACTCCAGAGGCCGGGGCCAACTAAAAATCAAGATATTTCTTATTCTACCGTTTTAACATTTCTTTTTCCCCCTCCCACAGTCTTGAAAAACCTGGATATACTGTATGAAGTAGCCTAATTTTAAAAGTGTGATTTCTATACGTGGAAAGGATCTTAAAAATCCATGAGAATGAATATACACATTTACACATAAATTTAAAGCGCTAAAATATTTTAATCGCTAGAAATTGCGAGTAAAACATATTTACAAAAAAACCTTATCTTTAATCCTTATGCAGTAAATCATGAACACAGTATTACAAACTCATTAGTTAAAAAGAGTGGGAACTTTGAGGAACGTTCAGCTCCTAAAACTTCCGGAATCTTGAAATGTAAAATGTACAAAAAACTAGGAATGTCTATAAATTAAAATTGTAAAATGTTGACATTACATCAGGTGACCAAGAGGAAATATATTCACCTGAATCATGTTAAAAAGTTTGAGAACTGCTGGCGTAAACCGCACATTTGGCAAATGTAGTGAGTCATAATCCTGCACACAATATATATTTTCTGCAATACTTCTGGGCCCATTTACAGGTTCGGAAGCTGTAATCACAATGTGACATGACGCGTGTTGGGCAATGTTTCCTACATCTCAACTTTCACTAAACACGTTAACAAGACGTTTTTTGGCACTAGTGTGAGAAAACGAAGAGCAAATGATAATAACTTCCTCCATGATTCCTTAAATTATATAGTGGTGTTCTTGTAAGTCTGATCATTCCATCTTGAATGCACCAATATTGATAAATAGTACAAGCAGAATAGTAGAATGCCATTCTTTAGGAACTATTCAACAATGCATGCTGACTTTGCTGTCACACTAAAGGGAACCAATAGTGAGAGAGAGGACTGTGGGAAAGGCTAAGTGACTGCAGAGTTTTCTCGTCCTAAGAGAGAACAAGGAGGATTCTGCTGCCCCGCACAATGAAAAGCTCCTTAAATGAAAGACTATTGTACTTCCAACTCAGTCTGTCAAGTTTCAGACAATAGTGCTCTGAGCACATAAAGTGACGCCTGTCACCTACGTACTGACCACATTGTCATTTGCCAGGGAAAAAGCCACAATATGTTGTTGGTCTACAACATTTGGTTTACCAGAGCGAATAATGCATATGGCCACAAGTGATGGGTGTTCTAATACAGCCACGTCAGCATGTGCAGATTATGTGGTGTTTAACAGACACTGCGCCGCAAAACGTACCTGGATAAAATCCACAAATGTCCACGGAAGTAAGGAATCAAGGTGGCCGATGTCTTTGGAGAACCGGTTGAGGATTCTTCCTGAAATGACAAGGGAAAAGCCATTCAGAGAACAAAACTGCTTCTGTCACACTAAAGGGAACCAATAGTGAGAGAGAGGACTGTGGGAAAGGCTAAGTGACTGCAGAGTTTTCTCGTCCTAAGAGAGAACAAGGAGGATTCTGCTGCCCCGCACAATGAAAAGCTCCTTAAATGAAAGACTATTGTACTTCCAACTCAGTCTGTCAAGTTTCAGACAATAGTGCTCTGAGCACATAAAGTGACGCCTGTCACCTACGTACTGACCACATTGTCATTTGCCAGGGAAAAAGCCACAATATGTTGTTGGTCTACAACATTTGGTTTACCAGAGCGAATAATGCATATGGCCACAAGTGATGGGTGTTCTAATACAGCCACGTCAGCATGTGCAGATTATGTGGTGTTTAACAGACACTGCGCCGCAAAACGTACCTGGATAAAATCCACAAATGTCCACGGAAGTAAGGAATCAAGGTGGCCGATGTCTTTGGAGAACCGGTTGAGGATTCTTCCTGAAATGACAAGGGAAAAGCCATTCAGAGAAGAATCGGCTTCCAGATCATTGCACAATACCAAACCATTCAACTAGATTTAACAAGACCGAAAACAAGAAACAAGAAAATGACGAAAAACTGCATCACTGTTAATTCATATTTAAAAAGTCTTTGTAAAATGCAATAAATAAATAAAATTAATTAATTAAATTAATTACAACTAAATAAAAAAGAATTAAAAGTCTCTGAAAAATAAACTGACCTTTTTAATCACTTATGATATTTTTTAAAAAGTTATAAAAATTAATGATATTTCATGAACTAATAATTCAAGCTATCTGTAAAAAAAACAAAAGATGATGATTACACTAACTTATTCAGAAAAATCTGTTATTACTCTATATTTGATGGTTATGCCACATTTTTTAGAGTAAAATTTCTACTTTTCTTGAAAATTGTATAAGAGTTTTTTTAAAACCATATAAAACCAACATAAATCGAAAGATTTTAACAAGAAAGACACCAGATTTGTTTTAATATCTCTCCTTTTCTTTATCTTGGACACTCTTATTCAGTAACAGTGACGAAAGCATCACTAATTATAAAACAAGCTGAAATGCTGTCAGTGACGTGCCTTGCAAACTTTTCTGTTAAATTATTTTAACAATAACAATCCCATATTGCCATTTACTTCTTATCTAACTGGCTATGATAAATTCTGCCCATAAAGGCCTTTAACCCATGATTTGAGTGACTGGAAGGATAATAAATGGCAGATTAAACAAAAATAATGCAAACAAAGGAGAACTCAATCAACATTGGCACCATGCTGGATATCGGTTTGTCCTTTGTTAGAAATGTTTATGGCCAATCATGCTTAGATTACAAGTCCCAAAGAACTGGCAGACAACATAAACACCCACTAGCGTTAACCATTCTTTATTACCAGTGACCATAGATTACCAATGAAAAAGGCTAGAGCGCAGAGACACAGGATACGGTAGTTGTGTCAACTAATCCACATCACACGCTTATTCCAGCCATAAAAGTTTCCACAAAGTGATGTGATTTCTACGAGTGCCTCCAGCTGTAATTGTGCCTCGTGGGTGCGCTGCTGATAACAGTATCGTGAAAAAGGGCTCCAAACTGACTCTCCGGCAGCCATAAAATGATCTATTAGACTTTTGAGACTTGTAAATGCTCTTTTGCTCATGTTATCAATAGTAACACCCCGATAAGCAACTCTCAATGACACAGAACCCAGGTGTGCTGCTGTTTGCTCTTTAGAAGGTGAGAAGAAACTGCATTATACTGGCAATATCAACCGACTTTGTCCTGCGCATTCAAATGCTGACCACCATTATCACTATAATAATAATAATATAACATAATATAATATAATACATTTTCTTTTCAATAATTATATAATAAAACTTGGGATAATTCATATTTTTATTTTATATATATTTATATAAATATGATTATTAAATTATTATGATTATTTGGAGATATCATTTGAAGTTACCACCAAAAAAAAAAAAAAAATTTAAAAAAATAAATAGACTTAAATTACTTATATAGGTCAAATGTTACTGCAAATAAGGTGCAATAAAAAAACAAAAAACAACCCATTCTAAAAGGCTACAGCTCAGATTCATGCTCCATGGCATCAATCTAGAGCATCATTTTCCAGAAATAAACACAAGAGGAACAGGGAAGGCAAAACAGTCAGTAAGAGCTGAAGGTTTGACTTCACACACACCTGGACTTCAATCCAAACACTTCACACTCAACACAGCTAATATACATCCCTGCATGAGCAAAGACCTCAAACGCTGCCGTTTACTCAACACTCCAGAGTAAACACTCAAATCTAGAGCAAACATCATAGAAAAGGACAGTGGACTGGTGTGCTTTCAATGTGCTCCTCCTCTGGAAATCATTTTAAAACAACCAAAGTCAGTAACAAATTACAACAGTTACCCATAAGGACTAAATTAAGGAAGTATTTGGACAGTGGACATAAATGTTCAATGATGTTTAATAACTGCAATCCTTACAAAGGGGAAACACACTGACGCAAAATGTACAATGGAAATAACATGTTTTGTTTGAACATGTACCATGATACTTTCAGCGTTTTTGAACATGGTAACCAAACCTTTCAAAAGAAAAAAAAAAGAAATATACGCTAACAAAAACATAATGTTTTAGTTAGTGTATATTGTTTTTTTTTTGTTTTTTTTTTACCCTACCGCATAGCACCATGGTGATAGCATGTAATAACACAACACGTATAAGGACTACTCCAAATACCATGTGTAGTTATTTTTATTAGAATTAATCCAAGTATTGAGATTTTAAGCCTATTGTATTTTAATACATTCAAGCTATGTTTTGTATAAATTTAGTTTCCAAAACATTTAATATATTTTTTGAATGGTGAAATGTGTTGGCCATTACTTTTAACTTTAAATTTAAGTCATACACTACCGCTCAAAAGCAGTACTCAAAAAAAAAAAAAAAAAAAAAAAAAAACTAAGAAAAACCTTCATCCTGTTCAAAGGTTTTTACGCTCGTGACTCATTTAAGAAACTAAAACTTTTATTCAGTAAGGATGCATTCAATTGATCATAAGTGACAGTAAAGATATTTATAATATTACAAAAGATTTCAAATGAATGCTATTTCAAATAAATGTCACTGTTTCCAGAAAAATATTAAGCAGTACAACTGTTTTCAACATTGATAATAATAAGAAATATTTCTTGAGCAGCAAGTCATCATATTAGAATGATTTCTGAAGAATCATGTGACACTGAAGATTGAAAAATTCAGCTTTGCATCACAGGAATAAATTACATTTTAAAACATTTTCAAATAGATAAGAATTATTTAAAATTGTAATAATATTACATACATTTCATAATATTACTGCTTTTACTATTATTACAGTTGTGGTCAAAATTTTACATACACTTTGCAGTATCTATAAAACGTTAATTATTTTACCAAAATAATCATAAAATGCATGTTATTTTTTATTTAGTACTGACCTGAATAAGATATTTCACTTAAAATATATTTACATATAGTCCACAAGAGAAAATAATAGTTGAATTTATAAAAATGACCCCGTTTACGAGTTACCTGGATGATCCACAGCTGTTTTTTTTTTTAAATTGTTTTTAGTGATAGTTGTTCATGAGTCCCTTGTTTGTCCCGAACAGTTAAACTGCCCACTGTTCTTCAGAAAAATCCTTCAGGTCTCACAAATTCTTTGGTTTTCCAGCATCTGTTGCGTAATTAAACCCTTTCCAACAATCACTGTATGATTTTGAGATCCATCTTTTCACACTGAGGACAACTGAGGGACTCATACAAAAAGTTCAAACACTCACTGATGCTTCAGAACGAAAAAACGATGCAATGGAGGATTTTCTTTGTTGACAAAAATAACTTTCCTTTCCTCTGGCAGTAACTGCACATCAACAGAGGTTTTCCAAGAACAGCACAGGATAGATAAATTGCCCAAAGGACATTTCACAGGATGTGCTGCCCTCTGCTGGTCACTTCCTAGCTTGATAAACAGACAGGAATATAAGAAGCCTTTGGTGTTTTTGTACTCACCAATGGGGTTGATGTCAAAGAAGCGGACCGGGGTTCTCAGGATGCTGTTGAACATGCGGTTGTGTAACGTCTCTGCTGAGCTCACCAGAGCGTTAAACATAAACAGACTGCGCATGAAGCCAAAGATGATGGTGGCTCCTGTTAAGCCTGATGAACATAGGATACACAAATCACCATTACCATTGGGAGACACATGCAACATGTCTACATTTGTACTTTGGCTGACTTCGATCATGAGCATACCTGCATAGATGCCAAGATAGAAATTCAGGTTGAGCTCTTGAGTCGTGTTAGTGCTGATAGTGCCATTTGTGCCGTTGGAAGAATTGGTGTACGAGGAATGAAAGTCCAGCTTCTCCTGCTCTGTGGCCCTGTCAATCACAATGTAATGACGTTACGATAGTTGGTAAACACCAGAACATCATGTCCATCTAGTGTATTAAAGGGGTCATATGATGCGATTTCATTTTTTCCTTTCTCTTTAGAGTGTTACAAGCTCTTGGTGCATAAAGAAGATCTGTAAAGTTGCAAAGACTAAAGTCTCAAATCCAAAGAGATATTCTTTATAAAAGTTAAGAGTTAGCCACACCTACCTAAAACGGCTCGTTCGAACACGCCCCCACATACCTACCTCACTATGTGGGAAGATTTGCATAAAGCCGCCCAAATGTAATAATGTTCTTTTTAGCAGCATCATATGACCCCTTTAAGCACTATTTAGGTTGTTCAAATAAAATGCAATTAGTCTACTTAATGCACTACAATACGTAGTGTTGTTTTCGATCCAGCATGATTTCGACTTGAATTATTCTATTGAAATTTATGCATATATTTAAGCTTTTTTTTTTTTTTTTTACTTTTTAGAGTGACTTTGCAATAAAAACAAGAAATTGAAACAATATTCAAAGAAAACGATATACAGTTTAATTAATATAGTACACTTTAAATAATACATCAACATTACATATAATATAACGACAGCATATATATTAAAGGGTTAGTTCACCCAAAAATGAAAATTAGGCTGCGTTTTACTCACCCCCGAGGCATCCTAGGTGTATATGACTTTCTTCTTTCAGACGAATCCAGTCGAGACAATTTTTAATATAACTCCGACTGGATTCGTCAGAAAGAAGAAAGTCATATACACCTAGGATGCCTCGGGGGTGAGTAAAACGCAGCCTAATTTTCATTTTTGGGTGAAGTAACCCTTTAAGATTTAGGTTTTTGAAAAAAGTCTCTAATGCTCACCAAGGATGCATCTATTTGATCAAAAATAAATACAGGAATACTGTGAAATATTATTCCACTTTAAAATAACAGATTTTTCTGGATTCATTTATGAATGGAAAAAGTTCAAAAGATCAAGATTTTAAAACAGAAATCTTTTATAACATTTTAAATGTCTTTACTGTTGCCTTTGATTAATTTAATGCATCCTTGTATTCATTTATTTAAAAAAAATCTAACTGAAAATGCATTTACAGCAATTCAATGTACTTAAAAACAAAAGCTTAGCAGCATAGATATTAGAAATATTATTGATCACTCACCAGTATGAAAGCCACCAGTCATGAAGAATATAAAAAGCCTATGGGGCAGAAAACAGCATTAGCATGAATCTGTAACCGCGAGTGAGAAGTCTTTCAGTGTATAACACTGCTGTGTCTTATACCTGTGCCAGCAAGTTGAGGAGAACAAACGAAATCAGCATAATGACGTTGGCTCCAGCTCTGAAATATTTCCAGTACATGCGAAGGCCGATGGTCCCCTCAGTGCGCGTCTCCTCGGTCATGGTATGCACAGGCTCCACCTACCCATGAGGAAAAACAATTTGATTCTTTCACTTGGTGGAACTGTCTATTTTTATGACCAGACAGTAAGTAACATCCCACACATCCACTAGATGGAGCTATGGACCCATCTGAGCTGTAAATGTGAATGTTACAGGAAAAGTTCACCCAAAAATAAATGACAAGTCAGACCTACCGGCAGCTGATCGGACTCATCTTTAACAGACAGAACAGATGAAGAGTGAGAACGGACGGAGTTCTGGGAGAGGGTGCGGCTGCGGGGGGAGCGAGGAGCCTCTCCCTTTTCACCTTCCTCTTCCACGTCCTTCTTCAGCAGAGAGGTGAAATCCACTCCCGATCGCTGCAGCTCGGAGTATGTGCCACGTGCCACCATGTGTCCCTGAGAGAGACAACAGGAGTTAATTTTGGCTCATTTATTCACAGGTGGAATGCAGATTGACTGGTCTGTGCTGTTACAGCTTACCTCCTTCAAAACCAGGATCTGATCTGCAGCCTTCAGGTACTGCAGCTGGTGAGTAACCAAGATCGTAGGCTTTTCCTTCAGAATACCACAAATACACCTGCAAGGACAATCAGTGCTCTTAACATTTACGGCAAAGAAACAGTGAATACAACAACACACTTGGTTCAAAAGTTTGGAGTCAGTAAGATTTTTGACTGATTTTGAAAATCTCTTATGCTCACCAGGGCTGCATTTATTTGGAAAAAATAAAAAATTTTTTTTTTTAAAAAACATTAATACTATGAAATAATTACAATTTAAAATAACATCTTTCTATTTTAAATGCAGTTTATTTCTGTGATGCAAAGCTGAATTTTCAGCATAATTACTCCAGTCTTCAGTGTCACATGATCCTTCAGAAATCATTCTAATATGCTGATTTGATGCTTAAGAAACATTTCTGATTATCATCAATGTTAAAAACAGGTATGCATTTATTTGATTGGATTTTGCATTATTATTACTTTTGATCAATTTAATGCGTCCTTGCTATATTAATGTGCATATATAAATTATATATATATATATATTTTTTTTAAATTTATTTTATTTTAGGGCTGTCAATCGATTAAAACATTTAATCGCGATTAATCGCATGATTTAACTCGTGATTAATCGCAACTTAAACACACATTTTTATCTGTTCTATATGTACCTTAAATTAATACCTTTTAAGTTTTTAATACTCTAATCAACATGGGTGTGGACAAATATGGATGCTTTATGCAAATGTATGTTTATTATTAGTGAAACCATACTCAACATAGAGCATAAAGAATTCAGATACAGGTTTTCACAAAAACAAAGAGTTTTTTTAAACCATTTTTAAGAAATTGAATCAAAAGTCAAAAGTATCAATTATTATATTAATTTAAACAATTATTATCAATTGATTATTATATTAATTCAATAACATATAACTATATTTTACTGGCTTAATTTTTAGATTTTTATAATGCATTATCTTCTTATCAATCTACCAGTTCACATTTACAACTGCGCGTTTGCTGCATGAAAGCAGACAGGTTTATTGAAAATGCTAATTCATTCTCTGCCAGCAGATGGCGCTGTCGGAATGGCAGAAATAAAGAGGTTTCTCCGACAGTAAACAAAGCAGAGCAGCAGCTGACTTTGAAACATGCAGCGCTCATATTTATTCAATGAAATCATCTCCTTTTGAAGTTTAATCGTCACATTAAGCCATATCGCAATTCTTGTCTTTTCCTCCCTAAATTTAAGACCTCTTGAAATCATAATTAAGACTTTCTTGTACCATTTAATACTTATGGCCTTAAATATGTTAACTAAATTTAAGACCTCTTAAAACTTTAAGGACCCGCGGAAACCCTGAAACAGAAAATACGCGCAGCCTTAATCGCGCGTTAATACAATTAGTGCCGTTAAAATGAATTTGCATTAATGTGTATTAACGCGTTAATTTTGACAGCCCTAATATATATATATATATATATATATATATATGTGTATATGTCTGTTGCAGAGCTTGACTGTCCCTGAAAACTAAAAGCTTTCAATGTATGGAAAAGAACATCATGAAGATCAACAGTAAAACACAACAGGATCAGTGAAGAGTATGAATTTACTGTTCAAACAGGTGTCTGCCCACTTCTGCATCCACTGCACTCAATGGATCATCCAACAGGTAAATATCAGCATCCTGATACACAGCCCTAAAACCCACAGACAGTAACAGATATGTTACTAATAAACTAATAAAACAGCTCTTAAATATTCCTTTGCATTAGCAAATATATGCTAGTTTGCTATTTTGAAATTATTTATTTTTTTCCATTTCATATATTTTTCACATTACAAAATGTCATTGTTTAACTATATCCTCAGCATGTCCATGATGCAGTCTTCTGAAAGCACATACTATGCTTTATATACATTATATCATTTTTAATCTTATTTTGTTCAGAACAATGTATCAGTTAAAGTAAGAAATGGGGTTTTATTAAATTATGTGTATATGCCTGTTGCAGAGCTTGACTGTCCCTGAAAACTAAAAGCTTTCAATGTATGGAAAAGAACATCATGAAGATCAACAGTAAAACACAACAGGATCAGTGAAGAGTATGAATTTACTGTTCAAACAGGTGTCTGCCCACTTCTGCATCCACTGCACTCAATGGATCATCCAACAGGTAAATATCAGCATCCTGATACACAGCCCTAAAACCCACAGACAGTAACAGATATGTTACTAATAAACTAATAAAACAGCTCTTAAATATTCCTTTGCATTAGCAAATATATGCTAGTTTGCTATTTTGAAATTATTTATTTTTTTCCATTTCATATATTTTTCACATTACAAAATGTCATTGTTTAACTATATCCTCAGCATGTCCATGATGCAGTCTTCTGAAAGCACATACTATGCTTTATATACATTATATCATTTTTTATCTTATTTTGTTCAGAACAATGTATCAGTTAAAGTAAGAAATGGGGTTTTATTAAATTGCCGAATTTGTATAATAAAGGTGAAAAATGGTTGATTTTTCAAGCGTTAACAGGTTGGGATACCTAGCCAGGTTGACTCTAGCTTTCTGTCCGCCACTGAGGGTTGCTCCTCTGTCTCCGATCACAGTCAAATCCCCATCAGGAAGCAGCTCCATGTCCTGTACAAAACAGAAAGAACTACAGTATTAGTATACTACAGCTTACAACAACAAGATGTCCAGTTAATGTTTTATAGTATTTAAAGTTTTATGAAGATGTGAAGTTAAAGTTTTAAAGCAACAACCAAATACTAAAACTAGCAAGGCTGCATTAAATTGATCAAAAGTTACAATAAATGCATTTATTACAAAAGATTTCTTTTTCTGATAAATGCGTTTTTTTTTTTT